GCTGTTGTTTTAGCGTCTGCTTTATATCCCGCTCAATATAGAGATTTCATATTGGCCAATCAGACCGCGAGTTCATTTATCATTTCTCCTCTGATCACTGGATGCGAATGGTGTTTTTACCGCCTCGTCGTCTACCTGTACTAATCACTGCCTTACAGTAATTTTCGTCTGTCAATGTCCATTCGGATACTTCCGTCTGAAAACGGCAACAGTGGATTACTTTTCGTGGGATTTAACCAAGACTATGGCAAGTTGACTTGCAGTCTGATTTAACACTGTTTAGGATGCTTTGCCGTTGGAATGCAAAATGGCTTCCGAATTTATAATACGGATCCTCTCAAGCAGTTAGAACGCTGTGGTATGTCTCAAAATTGTGATATGAATTGTTTTTACGGTGCAGGCATTTATTTGTTCCCATGTATTCAAAGTAGTCAACCTTACCAAAGACGTGTGCACACTTCGATTATTCCTATGGGGCTAGTCGAAAGTCCACAAACTCAATACTTTTGTGCGTTTCGGTGAAAGTCTGCATCAAAATCCTAGTTAATTACGTCGCAATCCAGACGGACGTGTTTCCGTTCTTTTGGTGTTAGCGCTAGGACTGCACACAATAGATTTGCTTTTAATCGGCTTGCTGGCTATACTCCATCTAAAATTAACTGATGCCGCATATAGATTTTCCTAATTCTCTATCCTTCACAGAGTTTCCGTTGTGTTTTCTGCATAATAAATAAGGTACCTTAATGAAGTGTAATCAAGTTTTCAAGGTAGGATTGTCTTTCAGTTTATGAAACTTCCATTGATTTTACTTTTAGACTTTAGTGTCCGGGACGGTACTGGCGTGGGTTACATTGAGATGCTTTTTCGCACAAGTTTTCTGGGTCTTCTCGGAGGTGGACACCAAGCCAGAATGCCTCCCAATACGGCCTGCCTATGGGATGGCGTTGAACAGAAGTTCGTTTTGGAATTATCCTATGGGAGCGACGTCCGAGCTGTGCGTCTGAGACGGGATCGGCAAGTTACAGCATACGTTTCTTGAGTAGCTTCCATGCTTAAGGCTTGTGGTTATTCACACAGTTTTCTAATGCAGACTTACTCTAAAACTGGTTTCGGAACCCAATAAAACCATGGTGATCTAATCCATTTTTATATAGGATAGGAAGGACTGAGCCTGTCCTTCTACAACCAGCTTATTGTGTCACCCTTAAGGCCCATTACTTAAGGCCGTAGTTCAGAAAATTCACTTCATTAGGATTCCTGTTGAACGAGCAAGGCACTCTTGCATTTTGTCACCACAAACTCTGTTGAGATGGTTGGACCTAATTTGCATGATCAGACGGGCCATTGGTTCCGTCTGTTTGTCCCAGATTGATTCAACTTACCCAGTAACTCACTTAGAGGTAGAAGCTTCAGGTTTATGCAAGAGTAAAAGCTTCATGAGTGTTTTTGTCTTCCCGCGGGATTTGTTTGTGTGTGCTTGTGTGCGTGCATGAAACAAACAAATCTTTGGGATTCTCAACAAAAAGCTAGGAATTTATGACTAAAACAATGACAGTTAGTAG